ATTATTTTTTTGTAAATAGCATCTAATGAACGAGAACCGGATGAAATATGGTCATCACACGTTTCTCTTTGGAATCAAGTCTGGTTAAATGGACGAATTGAAATTCGTAACGATGTTGAACTACAACGACATGTGAATTCTGCTCTCTATTATATTCTCAGTTCGCTTCCACCATTATCCACGCGTAGTGAACATAAACAATTCTACGGACTTAGTCCAGGTAGTCTGTCTCGTGGTGGTCGTCTTGGTGAAGATTATGGTGGTCATTCATTTTGGGATACAGAAACATGGATGTATCCATCGATTCTTCTCTTCTATCCAACGTATGTCTATTGCAATATTTGTTTAGCACAATAATCGAGAGTCAAACTTATATTTGTTCGATTTAGATTAGCTAAAGAGATTCTTTCATATCGCATTGCTCTACGTGATGCAGCCATGTACAATGCTAAACTATTTGGTTATGTAGGATGGAGGTAAGATTTATGGTTCGTTCATTTTGATCTATGCTATGGGGCCGTAGGTATCCTTGGGAGAGTGCACGAACAGGAATTGATGTGACTCCGGATTGTTGTCCCGAAGTTCGTCTTTATCAGATGCATATCACTGGCGATATAGCTTTTGCTGCAAGACAATACATTGCCGGAACACGTGATCAGTCGTGGTTAAAGAACGAAATGGGTGGTGATCTCATCTATGAAACAGCTCGATTTTGGGCGTCGAGAGCAGTATACAATTCGGACCGAAAACAATACGAAATCTTGAGTAAATTATTTTGTTTTTGATGTATGATTAATCACATCGAATTGTGTTTATGCAGCGGTATTGCCACCTGATGAAGATGCCCAACCGTTCAAGAATAATTCAGTCTTTACGAATGCTGTTGCTTCGCTCTCCATTCAATTAGCAGATCGAATCAGTTGTATAACTGAAAAGCCAGTGCCTCAAGCATGGCTCGACATAGCCAATAATCTTTATTTTCCATTCGACAATGTCACTCAAATTCATCTCGAATATGAAAATTTCAATCCTAGTATGTCAATCCGTACCTCAGTTCTCTTGAAGAATTTTTGATGATTCGATCATTCTAATTAGGATTTGCGTGAGAATGAAATTGTTTTTTGAATATGTCAGTTGTATTTGTAGAGAATGCGACTATAAAGCAAGCCGATGTAGTTCTTCTCGGTTTTCCATTGATGTGGCCGATGAGTAAAGAAGTACGACGTAATGATCTGTTGACCTATGAACGTATGACTCGAGACGATGGACCAGCTATGACTTGGTCAATGCATGCAATCGGACATCTTGAATTGAAAGATTTCGAACTAGCGGAAGAACTCTTTCGACGTTCGTACGAAACCTATGTTCGACCACCATTCAATGTCAGTTGAATTTCTTCATGTCGATTCATTCAATTCTTGAGTTTAGGTGTGGACTGAAGCTCAATCCGGTGTTGGCGCTGTCAATTTTATAACAGGCGCAGGAGGTTTTCTGCAAGCAGTACTTTTTGGATACGGTGGTCTCCGTTTAACTCTCAATGAACTTGAAGTAATGCCACCAAGTCGTTTGCCCAATCGTTCAACCCAACTTGCCTTTCATGGTCTCAAATATAATGGTGCTACGTTCGACTTGAGGATTGAGAAAGAAATGTATCATGTCAGTGTACGTACGTTGAATAACAACAATTCCCAATCAATGCTCTATGAACACGAGCAACAACGAGGTTCGCTTCGAGTTAACGATATCCTTTCCTTTCCGGTCGGTACACGATTGATTATTCATCTGGCGATATCACTCTGTCCTTGATTCTTTTCTTCTTTTCGTTCATTATTTAGAAGCCAATAAATATAACTACGTAGATTATTGTTTGACTATGACGATTTCCAATGACGAAATAACTCTCCAACATGATAGATCAATGTTAGAACAAAACAGGATAGCATGAATTTTCTTTCTAATCACTTCACGATGAAAAACTGCAAGAGAACCAAGTCGATTTGACAAGATTATTCGATGCAAACAGGAAGAAATGAGTGAGGGTGGGTGTGGGCGTGTGTTAGAGTATGTATGGCTGTGGGTGTGGATGTCGGTATTAGTGTTAAAGAATAGAAGATCTGTAAGCACAGCTACAGCCACAACCGCAGCCACACTCTGTTTGGTAGATATCTTTCTCACAAGTCATAGCGCAAGGCTCGACACTTTACCATAGCCTTCCCACTACAGCCCCAACATATCCTAAGAATTTCATACGATTTCAATGTACCTGGTCCGAGATCGATTTTTGAGGAGGCCTTCATATGAGCAAATCGATTGAAAAGAACGTATCGAGCTTCTATAAACTGACGAATGTGGGTGTGGGCGTGGATGTTATCTATTTACCCACACAAACATCAACCCATCCATACCCATATTCACACCCACACCCTAAACCATATTTATATTTCAATCAATAGAACTCATTTAAATGACAAAAAATTGAACTTGTTTGTTTTGAGCATTTACTGCGCACAAGACTTCAAAACATATTTTTACGACAAAATTCAATCTTAATTCTTGTTGAAATGTTCAACTTATCTGATACATCTTCTATTTTACAGAGATTTCATCGATAAGAATAAGAAATGAATTGATCAAAAGAAATTCATACAAATGATTGGCAAATTGTCAATTTAGTTTCAAGTTTTTCTAACTTGTAAATAATTACCAAAAACAACGATTGAAATGAGTCGCTTCCGACTTTTGACTCTCATCACAATAATATTTTTGTTTTTACGAAATTTTCTAGGTTTAGAGAGACTAAAATTTTTACCTGTTGTTATGGTGGTTGTGCTTATACATTCTGTTGTGATGCTTGTGCTCGGAGACGTTAATGTATTTGTGCTGATATATATGTCACGGTTCACTGCTCTTCCTCTTTCCTCTTCCTCTCTCTATTGTTCTCTCTGTGTCGTCTCTCTCTTTGTTTCTCTATCATATATAAGCTTGTGTTGAATGTGCAATAGGCACATTCTGGAGATGTAAAGTAGCTAATAAACATCATTGCTGAGCAGCGGCTAGCTACTCCTCCAGTCTGCCATAACATCTCTCCCTTTATTTATCGTTACAGTATTGTCTGTCACTATTTGTGAAGAGAAAACATTCATATTAAGAAGTTTTTAAGTAGATGCATTTTGTTCCGACATTCAATAAGAAACACAACTCAATAAATGTGATTTAAGTAAAGTCTTAAGAGTGAGGGTCTGAGAAAACTAGTCACTTAAGGACATCGATGATGAAATGATATCTCAGAATTGACTGATTTTTTTAATACATTGTAGAAGACAGTGAGTTATGTATTTCCTGAAATTTTCAGCTCAATCTGATTAGTTTTCGAAGTGTATCGGACAATATTTTCTTTACAACATACCCATATTACTGACACACGAGAGCGCGACTTGATTTTCGGAACAATAGGTGTCAGGACGACACTGTATACACCTTTTAAAAATGTCCTCAGGCAAAATATCCTTGCACTTTCGTCCTCAGAAAACGCAGATATGTTGTGTCAATATATTGTTTCAAGGATAACTCATTAGAAAAATGTCACCGATGTTTTACTCCATCATTTGTACATTCTTTTTTGAGATTTTTATTTCAAATACTTTACGGTACTGAATTAATTCATTATTTTTTTGTTTATAGGTGAAATATGGCACAAACACAAGCGCAAAAAGGAAGTCAGACATTACCGACTAGCTAGCTTCCTTCTCTCGGGGGTAAGTTGGTGTGGATGTATAAGTCAGCATTAAAATTAAAAATACATATGAGATATTCAGTTTTTCATAGGTACGAAAACGGTTGACACGCACGAATTTGATATTGTTACTGAATTAAATATCTAAAGTGGATATGGAGTAGAATTCGCAATCAATAGCAAGATCAAAACCATTATTTCGAAAGTAATCATCTTGAAGAAAAAAAGATCATTTTTTCAATTTAATATAAGCCTAAAATTGAAAGACTTATCTAAAACTAAATCTAAACTTAGAAGATTTTAACATGAATAGGTATTTCATCTTAATATTTTATCTCCAAAACAAAAAATACACATTTGTCTACGACTTCATTGATAAGTAAACACTAAATTTCTTGAAAAAGTTCAACCTGAAACAATAATAATGAATTCAAATATTTCGAAGAATACTGGCAGGTTCATTTATTCAAATGTATCTATTATATTAAAATTTGTAATACTAATCATATCAAAGAAAAAAAATATGCACTAGAAAGCAATGTACGTAATTATTTCAATTCAAACGTAAATAAAACATATAATAATAATTATCATTTACCATTTGTATCAGTAACTTTAGTGATGTATCAACTAACGAAGGAAAAGTAATTAAAAAAGCTAAATTAATATGGATCTAATCATGAAATGAAAATTGCTATTAATTATGTTAAGCAAACTTTTTCGTTTAGGTATTTTTTTTTCTTTTTATTGTTGTATGACTATAGAATTGAAACTGATAAGAAATACTTAGATGTTTATTTCAATTTAAAAGATCAAAAATTACTTTTTGTATTAAATATATTTCAGATGAAAGTTTCTTCTGTATATTTTCTATGAAAACAAAATCTCTTCAGAAAATAATGTAAGAAAAATATGACATTTGTAATGTGGAAAATTCCAAATTTTCGATAATACTCTTCGTTTGTCTTTTTGTCCTTTCTGTAAAAAAAGAACATGATTCATTCGAAAATTTCAGTTTGTTGTGAAATTTTATAATTGTTTGCAGGACACTCGTGTTTTTGTGATACTCTTCTCGAAAACATTTGCCATGAATAATCGTTTGAAAAAGAAAGTAGTGAGACAAAAAAAATGAGTCCGATAAAGAAAGACAAAATAAAAGGTTGATGAAAATAATATAAAAACAACCCTCTTAGAATTTTGTTTCATTTGAGACGCAATATTTTTCTCTTCGTGCAAGGTTTTTTTTCATGAATAAATAAAAATTAGTATGGCATCCACAACTTCAGCACCATATGAAATTCTTCGAGCTCAAAAGACCGATAACAATTATAAATTACGTGTAGCATATCGTGCACGAATTCATGAATACAAAGAAGATCGACTTAAAAGCCCTGAAAATCGTAAAATTACAGCCGAACAATTTCGACTTATTTGTCGTGCTTATGAAGCGGTATCTGATCATGATAAACGTAAAAAATATCATAATACAGATGAATGGATATCACATATACCTTTACCAGACTATACATTACAACAATTAGCTGCTGAACCTGAGCTTGTGGATGAATTGAAACGTCGTTTGCAAAAAGCTACATTAAATACAATAAATACACAAGATCCGTTAACAGGATATACACCACTCTATTGTGCAGCACGTGCTTGCAATATAGAAGCTGTCTACTATTTAATAGAACAAGGAGCTGAATCTGATCTATCACAGAGAACAGGAAGTACAGCTCTACATGTCAGTACTTTTTATGGACATCCAGAAATAGTTCGTTGTTTATTAGAAAGTGGAGCCGATTATCGAAAAGAGAATTCTGATAAAAGCACAGCTGAAGCTGAATCTTATGATGATAATGTCAAACAAATGTTTGCTAATTTGAAAACAACACTTTTTGTACAAGCAGCTGCAAATCAACTTGCTTGGCTAAAGACAAATTTTGATAATACCAAGTATCATATTGACGAACAATATTATGTACAAAGACAAACATTACTTCATTGTGCTTGTAAAAAAGGTTATTTAGATCTTGTTCAATGGTTAATCAAAGAACGTTCAGCCAGTCTAAATATTGTTGATGTTAATTTAAATTCAGCTTTACATCTTGCTGCTTATGGTGGACATAATTCAGTTGTAGAATATCTTCTTAATCAAGGTACTAATCCACTTTTAGAAAATAAATGGTGTATGACAGCTGAAGGAGAAGGTTCTCTTCATGGAGAACAAATTAAAAATCTTTTTAAATCGATGCGCAAACGAGATATGTTTAAAATGGCTGCTGATGGTATCCTTTGGTGGTTTGAATATTATTTTGATGATAAATCTCCGAATACAGTTAATGATGATGGTACAAGTGTACTTTATGTTGCATGTCGTCATGGTCAAACATCGATTGCAAAATGGCTTTTGGACAAGGGCGCTAATGTTAATATAAAACTTTTAAAAAACCCAGAAAGTACACCTTTACATGGTGCTGTTTATCATGGACATATTTCGACTGTTGACTTACTACTATCATATGAAGCTAATATAAATATTAAAAATAAGAATGGTGCAATTGCTTTTGATGAAGCACGAACAAATGAGATGATAAAACATGTACAACAATATCGAAATAATTTAGAAGATAATAAATTTTTCGATGTACATTTATATGGTGATGGAAAAAAATCTGGTAATGAACCATTAGCAAAATTAAAAATACATTGTCATGCTGATTATAATGAACTTGTGAATGCAATTCCAGATTCAATGCGACCGAAATATCCATGTTTTTCTATAGCTCGACGTCCATTAATATTTGAAGATGATAAGACCACAGTTCTATCAGCTGTATATCGTGCTCGATGTGGAGCATCGAGATTCTTTCAACTACCACTATGTATAACAGCACATGAAAAAGCACGTTATATGAATGCTGGTCATTATCTTCGAGATGACCTTTCTCTTAGTGATGCGAAAGAACTTGATCAAACCTTTAAAGCGGAATGTCCGAAATTTACAATGAAAATTTTTCCATCTACTACAAGTCAAACATTTACTATTAAAAATTTATCGTTTACTTTTCCGAGTAATTGTGTTGATAAAGATGTAATAATTGATGTTGATTATAAAATGCCACCAGACATAGATACAGGTAAATTACCTGGATGTGTTTGTCTTTTTCAAACAAGATATGTTAGCAGATATAAATTAAACGATATGCCAACAGTATCACTTATTAATGAACCAAATGCTCGATTATATCATTTAGCACCTTTATCATCTTATTGGTTTTCTTACAGAACAGGACATGCACGTTTAATGTCGATAGGTGAAACAATACATGCTTTTATTCGTCATGTTGATATTATTCCTTCTCAATTTACTCTTCCACCAGATATGTTTATTCAGGCTGCTGTTGGACAATTATTTCATATTCGTGATAAACCTGTTTCTTGTCTATGTTTAAAGATTTGTGAACACAATAAAGGCAAGTTTCCTCATATTGCTTATCATGGAACAAATATAAAAGTCATTGAATCGATTCTTATGGATGGACTCGTTATGCCAAGTACAGTAGTTTCTAGTGGATTCCGTGTTTGTCCACCAGAAAATCATATTGCTCGAGGAGTAGAAGCTTTTGGTATTAAAGATTTTTCAAATGGAATATTTGTAACACCAAGTATTTACTATTGTTCAGATCCGGCATATGCAATTACATTTACATATAAAGACGAACGACTTATAGCTGTTTTAGAATGTACTGTAAAAAAAGAATCATTCTCGACTCATCCATCTACTGTAAAGACATATGTTGCTCATAAAGGTGATGATATCAATGCAATTGAATGGCGTTTGGAAAATACAGCACATATCGAAATCATATCTGTACTTTTGATTCCTGTGATAAAATCAAAAACTGAAGCAGTGAAAGCAAGAACCGAGAAACTCAAAGATCATCACGCTTGTCGGATCTCATAATTTTGACAAGGCTAATCTGAATTTCTTGACTTTTCTCTAAATCGTCTGTCTTCTAGAGCTATCTTTGTATGACTTTTCTTGTTGACTATTAGTAACATTTAAGCTAATAAAAGAGTTGGATAAAGAAGATAACTAGCACAATGTTAATTAAACATAGTAACTCACTAATAAGAATAAGTTGCTTTCCATTGTTGTCTCTAACGAAAATCATCCATTCATGAAATAATCTAGTGAGCATTCAGAAATAGTTCGTTCTTTAGCAGAAAGTGGAGCTGATTATACGAAAAAAAATCGTGGTAGAAGCGCACGACAAAAGTTTGCCAGTTTGAAAATAATGAATTTCGCATCAGAAGCTGCTAACCAAATCGATTGGTTAAAGACAAATTTTGATAAGATTAAACTTCATATTGATGAGCAATATAGTCTACAACAATAAACATTACTTCATTGTGCTAGTAAAAGAAGGTTATTTAAATCTTGTTCAATGGTTAGTCAAAGAACGTTCAACCAAGTTAGAGGTGCTAATCTACTTTTAGAAAATAAATGTTTTATGACAGCTGAAGAAGAATGTCCTCTTCATGGGAAACAAATTAAGGTTCTTTTTAAATCGATGCGTAAACGAGATATGTTTAAAATGGCTGCTGATGGTATCCTTTGGTGGTTTGAATATTATTTTGATGATAAATCTCCGAATACAGTTAATGATGATGGTATAAGTGTATTTTATGTTGCATATCGTCATGGTCAAACCTCGATTGCAAAATGGCTTCTAGAAAGAGGCGCTAAATGTTAATGTAAAATTTTTAAAAGAACCGAAAAATTTCAACAGTTGGTTTACTATTAAAAATTGCTCATATATAAAGTTATTATTTCTTGGCTTATGTTGAATTCTCAGATTTTCCATCATGATCATTTTCTGATATCTATCGGCATTATTTACTATAAAATTCGACTATTTTCTTATTTTTCTTGATTTATGGTGACACCAGGCATGCACCGAACCCGGGAACGACCCGGGAATCCCGGGTTCGGTCGTTCCCGGGAATGACCGAACCCGGGAATGACCGAACCCGGGTAGTTCGGGCTCGGTGCATGTATAGGTGACACATATTCTATTAGTAAATTTGAAACATATTTTAATAAATTATTTTTAATAATAGGCTCATCTGTTTCATTGATTACATAATGAAAAATAATCAGTTAGTGTGCCAACGGACAAATCGAGCATAGTTTTGATACTTATCATGAGATACTGTGGTCATCGCTGAACAACAGATATATTTGATCCTTAGTCCGTCAATAACTTACCTAAAACACTACTTATTTCTATATTCAAGCGCAGCAATGAAGTACAGAGTATAATGAATTTGAAAAAAACAAAACAACAACAAGAAATGACTAAACAAACCATAATTAACAAAAAAATGGAACATTATGTAAAGAAAAATTCAATGGTAGACCAGTTATAATAAACTTTCTTGACGATTTTGTTTTCCCAGACCGACTGAAAAGTAAAGCGTATCTGGCATTGAAAAGAAAAATTATAAATTTATCTAGAAACCAACATCTTACAAGGGTTATATTTTTCACTTTTATTAGAGTATTCCGAAAACTAACTCACCATTAACAATTTTCAAAGTACTCTTATTGTCTTGCCTACTGACTACTATATAGTAATGCATAATGCAAAGCTTCTCGACAAGCAATGAAATATTATCATCCATCAGAAGACTAGGCAAAACTATATTGATGAGGCGTGGGTGTGATGGTAATCGGATAAGGTCATCTACACCCACACATAAACACTGACTGACATTGCATACTAAATCGCATTCCAAACAAACATATATCAACCTATACCTACTCCTAAATTCATAGATCCAATGTATGCCACACTCATTACAACATTCACACCTGCAAGGTCTTTGTAATCTTTCGTGAAAGTAATTAGATTATATTCCAAATAGATATTAGTGAACACTAACTATCATAGGAAGCAACGACTTTTAGCATGATTCAGAATTTGCGATAAGTCCCAGGAAAATGGTGCAATAATTACTTGACTAAGCAGGCTGCATGTTGACGGAGGATTTGTCTCATTCGGACTTTCACCCTGAATCAGAACTCTTGGAATATTGAAATTGAGACACCTATGAAAATAATGATTTACTATATAGTATAAGAATTCTAAAACTTGTCCGACATATTGAAATGATCGGAATAAAAGACATTTTGAATTGACCACTGGAAAGAAAATGATAAAATGAAATGATAGAGATTTTTATATGCATGTATAATTCCAGTAAATGTGAAGAAAAAATCATTATGTTTCAAACTTTTACATTAAAGCGGGTGGGGTGTGGAGTGTGGTCTTAACTTCTCTAATATCCCCACACTCACACCCAGCAAAACGAGCATTGCCAGATTCGTAATCAAACATAAGATAATGTCATGAGCGTGCGAGTGTGGATGCGGATGTGAATGATATGATTTTCAATATCCTCATTCACACCCACACCCTAGTTCTTCGGCCCTTTAAATTTGATAAGATGAACGTAGATATAATATTTTAGCATTATACCAAATCAATCAGCTAAAGAGAAAATATTTAAAAGGCATTCAAGTATTGTAACGATTGTAATGAACAATAGTCAGACCTAAACGAAATACCACCACATGAACATGTTGTTTGCTGATGATGAATGATCTTTACATTATTCTCAGTAGATGCATCATAAAAACACCTGACATTGTCATTTATTGTAAATTGATAAAATGTATCTTACAGTCATCGTATCTGTTCATCAAAGAATAGATAATTTTATAGAGACTGTTTTCGCGTATTTATTGCTCATACGTGATGTCAAACCTGAATTTAGGTATTAATATTTGATTTGCAGTTATAAGATAGTCAATATCTGAAAGAACATTCGGTATTTGATATGTATGGACTATCGTCAAAACCGATGGTAAGATTCCGGCTTCATATATCAAAATGATTTTCAAAAATTATGTTTATTTAAGCATACATTATCTCACACCTATAGATTAATCTTGACTGAATTACACGAATTATGTAAAAAAGGCTTTTTTTTTATTTTAATAAATGATATACCTAAACAGAAGATATGAAATCATAAGGTTCATTGTCAGCATTCTGTCTTTTCTTCGAGTAAATGTACTAAACTTTCTTCAAATTTCAATTCAAACTTGTCATCTCCAGAGTATTTTTTCGTTTGAACATACCATTTACCTTCAAATTGATTATTATTCGAATTCCAAGTTAATTGTATAGTCGATGTATGACCGAGATTCTGTTTTGGATCACTTGTTCCTTCTTTATATTTTTGCGTTAGAGCTAGTCGAAGATTTTTCGAAGAAAAAATACCATCGAAAGTAAAATTACCGACGTCATCTGTTCCTTCACCAACCATTTCGCCTAAACTACGATCGAAGTAAGTTAATAATCGATAAGGTCCATGCCATTTGCCATATTGACAATATCGAAACGACCAGACACCTGTCTCGAAAGGATCTTTTTTGTAGTTGTGATTTTCTAGAGAATTTTCACGAATAAAATCTGTATTCATTTGTGATGGTCTGCCACCTGTGTATCGACGATAGCAAGCCCAAAGTCTCCATATTATTAAGCCCAGCAGGCCCATTATAGCACATGAAGTAATAATCTTTTCTGTTAAAGTACATTCACGAGTAAAACATGATCCTTTACCACTTCCTATACATGAAATATTAATAGAACATAATATGAGTTTTAAAATAAAATCAACATGAAATCATTTGGAATGAGTGTCACTAACAACGATGGAAAAAAGTGATTGATTTGGCGCGCTGCTATTTGAATTTCAAATGAAAATATTTTCATATACGTATTATTATTCAAGCGTCATCTTTTCAATGTTATACGAGCGGACATTCTATCTAACACTATTTTTATTTGAGGCTTAAATGGCACCACCTTATTATGTCAATCAAGATAAGCCACTGTTCTCTGTCATCATTCGGGACACTCACCCTACTTGTGCACTTACCGCTGCTGTCTGCATGGCCACCGCCACCACCACCGCCGCCTCCTTTACCACCACCACCTTGACATTGAACGACACTTGTAAGTAGAGTCAAGATGAGAATTAGATATATTGTGATGTACATAATTTAGTATGGTAACTACAATAGAAATAAATGCAACTCAACACTAGTCGCAACCGTCTGATGTATGCAACAGAAAGATAACAGAGGAATTTAATAAAAATAAACAATATAGTTCGATATAAATAAGAAGAAATGGACAGAATCTTTGTCGAAATATTGAGTTTCACGAAAACAAAACAAATTTGTGTCAAAAAACTTCAATAATGAAGAATTTACAGGAATTTATAAGAACAAGAGTTTAAAAAAGTGTCTACAAATAATCAATTCCGTTCTGATTACACATAGTATTTAAATATTGCTGTCTTCTCATCTTATAAGATCGTTCTTGATCATCATATTGAACAAATACGTGCCATCACTCTGTAGTGATCATGAAAGTCAATCAACAGAATGTATCACTTCTATTGAAAAAATTCTGGCTCTTTTAATATATGCTGAACGCAACTCATTGTAACTATTTTTATCCAGTGAGATTTACTATATTTCAATAAAGTCTAAATTTCTAGTAAAAGCCTTCAGCTCTCTCTCGAACAATGCTCACATCTTCGAATATCTGTTGAGTTTCTAAAATTTATTTATAATCTACGAATTGTTCGTCAAAAATAGTTAAAAATCTTGTCTTTAGGCTTCAAATTAATTGAAATACTTGAACGATATCAAAGTTAAGCAGCAGCGTCACATATCCAGGAAACCGGGGTACTAGAGATCCTAAGAGAAATGAGAATATCCTAATGTACCTTCTATCAGACTATTCAACTAATACAGATATATAAAATCAGTTCGCATATCTCCTCAGTAGATGCTAGCATCCCTCTCATCTGCATGAGAGTGGAGATCCGATTGAGGATGAAGGGGAGGCACCTTCCGCATTAGTTCTACACTAAAAATCGGAAAAAAAGATTTATCAAGAGTGGTCTCATCTCCTAAGATATGAAAACTGATTTTATATACTTGTATTAGTTGAATGGCCTGATAGAAGGTGTATTGGTATCTCCAGCATCTTCACTTTCCTGTGTATGTGACACCTCTCAAGTTAAGTACTTTAGAGTAGTAGTGCATAATCAATCTCAAATTAAATGACCAACCAAAAACTCCTGTGTTGATAGATAATTTTAAATAGAATACAATGGTGCTCTAACGAAATACTTACATATATACATGTACAATGTATTCACGCATGACTATCACACTTTCTTTGCTTCACTTTTTTTTGTACAAAATTCACGATGTTGAAATGTTTCTTTTTTCGAATAACAAATTTAGAAAAACAATACAATCTTGATAGGATGTTGTTAGTTATTATTTATTTAAATCTAGAAAAAAAAATGTTTGTTGTGAAAGTTTTTTCTTAACGTATAAAATGTATTCACTAAAAAAATCTTCCGTACAATCTTTACAGGATTAAAATATGAAACACACTGGAACCACTTTAATTTTCTTTTAAGATTCCTTTCGAACTGATCATAATCTGTAACAAAATCAAACATTTCAAAATATCTCCTACAGTGTATGATAGGGACAAAAAGGCCGCATTAAAATCCTGCAACCCAACTCAACTCGCGAGCAGATGTGAGTTGAACTTCGTCGGATCGAGTCGAGCGTAGGTTGAAATTGAAAAAATGTCGTTATTATTCTTATTCATTTTTCTTAATGCAATCTCGTTGATCCCTATTTACATTTCCACAATTAATCTGAAAATGAATGTTTCATAAAGCCATCGGTTCATATTATCTATATATAAGCAAAGCGATGATTCGAATAGGTTTGAAGCGAATGTACAATTTATCATTCTTTCCTACAATATCAACAAACCTTTTGTTTATCTAAGTAGATTATTGTACTAAAAATAACTGTAAAATTCAAAGAGATAACGCTTCTTTTAATAATAGAAACTATAAAAACATTATCTTATTCTTTCATTAAGTTTTCAAAATGTCAACCAATAATACTCGATGGAATATTGATGGGATAAGTGTTGATTCTTTTGCCTGCCTACTAATCATGTTTCTAGTATGAAGCGAGAAAAATGGTTTTCAATAGAGTATTTATCTATTAAAAGAAGATAGGCGTTAACAATTGTCTCACTTCGTTTTTGTGTCAGAAAATCTTTATCATTAAGAAATAGAAATCAATAATCATAGAAACACTTTTAAATACCCTTAAAAATCAAGACACTTAAGCAAGACGAATGAACCGTCTAGTAAGAAGCATGACATTTTTTAGAATGAATCATGTCTTAGAGGTCGCCATTTTTGAAAACTGTTATAAGAGAGCGCAACAATGTTGTCATAGGTTGGTTTCTCAGTAAAGTTGAAGCGATAAAACTTGAAATCGTTCAATTTTATAGTGCTATGTTAATTTAATCATCTGCTTAAGTCTCAAAAGTTTCCTGATATTGTATAGGAGAGCAATAAAATTCGAGACTATTTTAGAACTAGTAAGATTTCTTTGATACTGTTTTGCTCTATATTTCGTACCTTTACAGAGATTTTCTATATCTATCGAATAACCATATTCGAACAAAATAGCTGATCCAGCATAAATAAACAAATCAGATTTTTCAGATCAGATCGGGCTTGGGTTCAATTGAAGGACCTTAGGTCGGTTGTGAGTTCGAAAAGCTGAATCCGTGTAGGACTCTAGACCACATTACAATCAAGAAGAAAAAACGAAGTCAAGTGAAAGAATGAAAAATAAAAGTTTACATAGAGTGAAGTACAAGATCCAACGGGATCCTACCAGATTTCTATAGATAAACCAAATGTTACGTGCGGCATGGGTGCTTCACTCATTAGCTTTTTATTTTGTAATACATAATATATATATGGAGCTGATTAGTCTGATTGAATGGCTGAATTCCTGTTTTATCATGCTGTTGCTATAATGTATCAGGTAACTATGATGTTTTTACCAGTTATAGTACTTATATGGCATCATGTGAGTAACTATAACTGATAAAAAAATCTTACTTACCTGAAACATTATAGAAACATCATGATAAAAATAAAATTTGGCCATTCAGTCAGACTAATCAGTACCATTCCATTCAATGTAACGTTATAAATAATCTAAATATAAAAAATAAAAATTATTTAAATGAATTAATACTTACTATTTGATCTATCATTGGAAACAATCTAAAAATAGAAAATTAGAATAGGCAAAATTAGATGTTTTCATGTCATCGAATTTTATCGGATCCGATTGAGTGAGTTCGACCTGGAATAGGAAAATAATGATTTTTTATAAAGTTTGATTAAAGGTCTTTGAGGTTGAGAAATCTGAATCTACGGATGATTTCTCAAAAAAATCGAGCTTGATTTTATCGTTAAAGAATGCTAATTTTCAAGGAAATAGTAGAATCTTATGAAACCTGATTAAATCACCGAAAATAATATTTCCTTAACGATAAAATCAAGGGCTCCAATTTTGAGAAACTACCTGTAGATTCAGATTAATGGACTCCAAAGATCTTTGATCAAACTTTATAAAAAATCATTATTTTCCTATCACCAAATTTCCCCGAGGGAAAAAAACAAACTCGTAAATTTTTCGTTATCAGTTATTTGATAACGTAATGATGACTTTCTTCTTCTAGATAAACCTTTTTTTTTAACTGATATATCCAGTTGTTATGTGAGTCATTCATCTATTATAAACAAAAATAAAAATAAAGTGACACTCCTAATAGAGATTCTGTACTGCATGCTCCAATCATTTAAAACTATTTGAACAGTTAGAAAGAAAACGGTTCGTGCTAAAATGAGCCAAATACATTCATGAGTCAATAGATGGTTGCAAAGATTCACCTACTTGATCGTTCTGTTACTTTCTTTGATCAGCGATATGGAAGACGATGAGCATCGGAGAAAGAGAGAACTCAACGGCGAAGAGATGAGAGACAAATTCATCACCATTTCATGTTTGATTACTTTTCTGTTTCTATTACTGTGTAAACGTATGCCTCTCTTTCTCGGCATCTATCTCTAGGATTTTATTCAGTTCTTATCAAATCGAATGGCTAAAGAATTAATAAATGACTAGCAGGATTAATTTTGTTCTAGTTATAACAATTATCTTTATTCTGAGAATGAATGTATAGATACTCAATCAAAAAACCTAGGTCATTTTGATCCGATTGAAACTAGATGGAAACTATCAAAATTCAACAGAACTTCCAGGAGAGATAGTCGAAAAATAAATGAAACCACCTCAGTTCAGGCAACTGAAACAATTGATACGGATAAGAAAGAGTAGACTATAAATGTAATAAGTAATGAAGAATTGAGGAAAATCTGTACACTATAATAAACAACAGAAAGAACTGACATGATCAAAAAAAACATGCTATCAAAAAAAATGAATATGTTGCTTTTCTCTTTGTGGTTGTGTTCATTCTCTCTACTACTCGTATTTTTTTCTCTGTTTCTGAATGATGTGATTAACGAGATGAATGAATGTCTTCGCGTGTTAGACTGCTATAGAAATATACGCTAATCTGACTTTTTTTGCACTATAACATGAAAAAGAAAATACTTCTTGCGTTCTGTTCGCATGTTGTTAGCGAACAACTTCTAACAAGGACGAAGAAAAAAAATTATGCCGATAGAGAAGACAACAAAAATCCAGAGATAAATTCATGGCTACCAATCGGTTCTGATTGTCAAAAGATGTCATATTGATTTACTGCTGCTACACTACAATGGATAATACGTGAAAAGATCTTCATTTGTTCCTTAAAAATGATAACAAAATTGCCTTTTGTTTTTGTTATTCATTTAAAGTTCTTTTTGAAATTCTTTTGTGTTATATCAGAAAAAAAATGAAACTAGAATCTTTATCAAGTGAAATACCCGTTGACATATTTGATTATTTCGATGACACTCAACTTCTTACTACATTTTATAATCTCAGTATTCTCTTTATTTATTCGAAACAATTTTTCTCTCAATATTCAATCTAATAGAAAAAAGTTTTGGATTTTTTGTTGCTCGATAATATCTTCCAAGAAAAAGTGATCGAATTATTTCAATTCGTCTTTGACACGATAATAATACACCATATTAAATTGATCAATCTTTCTCATATATAAATAAAATTATAAATATAATGATTAAAGAATGTTTAACACATGAATGATACTTTTATTTATTAAACTTTATCCTCGATTAGAACAACTTACAATTGAAATACTTCTATATGATCTTGAATCAATTATACCAAATTATTTAATTGTTCAATAAAGTTTCTTTTATACAAAATTTTTATATATATGGTACTGAAAAGAAAGTTTTTTTTTGTATTTATGCGTGTATTATTTTAAAATAAATAAGAAAATTATTTTTGAATTAATGCTTGTAGATCTCATATGTCTGATAATAAAATATGTTCTGTTTTTATTAAATAGAATTTTCAAATTGATTTAAAATACCAGTGTTCAAACAATGAAATTTGAATGAAACTTAGAAAAATGGAGAATTAATTATTTATGATAGAATCAAACCAATTATAGATATATCAGTAGCTGAGGAAATATTTAATTATGCTATTCTGTGGAATTTCATTTTCATATGCTGATAATAAATATCATTATCTGATTATTCTGTGTTATAACGATAGATATGCAAGACGGAAACATTACGAATTTCAGTTAACCCTTGGCTAATATTCTTGCTTCAGAACGTCGTTGCTATTCTAAGGTTCGCCTGGATCCATTCATAAAAAACTACAGAAAATCAATACTTTTGTTTTATTTAAGCTATTCATTTATGTACTATAAGCCTCTAAATACTCTTTCCATAAAGATTTATGTGCCAGTTTCCATCAACGCAATATAAAGTCATAAAATATCAAAAATAAGATCGTTTGAAACTGTTTGCATAAAACCATTGAAATTTAACTAGAAAAAAAATTCTAGATCTAGTCACTTGAGTCAAGAACGACAGAAATACAGTGTTATGCTCATAAATATGTTTGTCAGTAAATAAGAGGAGTTATTCTTATTTGAATTTTCATATGTTGCACTGCTTTCGTTGCGCACGGTATATATGAATGAGTAAGTATTTAGCATTTCCGAAAAAGTCAAATGACTGATGAGAGAGAGACAGAAAAGACGAAGAAAAAAAAAGAGAAAAAAGACAACATTAGTGCTGATTATTATTTACTTCGCGTCGACTCAGGAAAAAAAAAGAATGACACAGTAAAGCCTAGGAAGTGGATGTCAGGGAAATAACGATCTAATGCCTGGAGATTAACCAAACACAGAAAAACATACAACCGGATGAGAAAAAAGAATTAGAATATTTTATGCTAATCAGATAAATGATAATCTAGATATATACGTGTGTGTATGAATGTCAAAACATCGAGCATATTACACATATGTATATAATTGAAAGTGCTTGCTTTGATTCTTCGTTTCTTTTTTTGTTGTTCAATCGATTATCTAGCCATTCGTTTCACGTTTCTCGAAAGCTTTCTTTTTTCAGATGTTCATCACTTATATCTTTCTCATTGTCTGTTCGTTAGCCTTATTTTTTCCTAAACTTCAATTATCAATGTTCAATCGTTCAACATCAAGAATTTTTGCCGTGGAAAAGAGTGAAATATTTAACTCAACCCAATTGGATATCATCACTAAAGCCCAGTAGAAATTGAATTAAAGGACATCGACCTATATGATTTATATCCTATTATTTGAAATATTGTGGATCCACTAAAAAGTATGTACCGGGTTGGGAAGCCACTGGTCGATATACGATCGGTAAGCGTGCAGCAAAACAAGTTCTTTTTTTATTGTGTGAAAATTTTTTTGGATCATAGGCTGATCGAAATATATTCAAATTGTCGCTTATGATTGTGCAAGTAGAAACGCATCACAATCGAGGATATGTAAAGATGAAAAATATTATCCACAATGACATTTTTTGTCCATTAACAAATTCGAATCAACTTGCATTCGATCGGACTCTTCAAACAAATAATACGACGGCTATTGAAGAGATTTTTATCTGGACATTGAAGGCAATGAATAAAATTGCTCATGAATCCTATGAAAAATCATGGCCAATTCGACACGTAGTCAAGTGAGTGTCGTACTATACTCGATTCAGTTGACTCGAATTTTTATTGTCATTAATTGTTCTGTGTCTATATAGACCAACATCGAAGGATGATTTGAATAGTACAATACCAAAACAGATAAAAAAGTTTCGACTATTCGTTTCGGATAATGTTTTACTCTACACTTTGATGAGTATGGAAATCAACCGTTTGTTATTTCAAACAATTCATTCGAACTGATCAAATGCATAAAATTGTTTTTTTTTCAGTATGTTTTGAACAATTCAAAAACTGTCCAAATCGAACCAATTTATTGTTTGCCTAAACAGAATGCAATTGCACTCAATAAGGGCATTTGGAGAGGACAACGCAGAGCCGATGGTCAACTCACGTTCGAATTGTATAAACAGATTGAAGATTTTTCATATCATCACATTTCGAATATTATCATTTAGACTCGAATCGAACAGCGGTACACGAGCATTTACTTTGACAAATAATGTAGATTTCGGTTTTCAAAAGTTCGAAGTGTATGTACATTGATCAAATATATTTTACTCTTTATCCAAATTTGCCTTCGATTTAGAAAAATGAAAACAGCAATCGGATCGGCCATGTTCGATATTGGCAGCGCTGTGGTGTGGATGCTTTCTAAAGATCTACAACAAAAATTGCCTCGTCTAATTTAAAACCTGAAATTCGTTCAACATATAATTTACTATTATCCAGGCAGTAATACGATGAAAGAGTTTCTGAGCAACTTAAATGATTTTATGCTAAATCAAACGACAGTTTCATCTATCACTCTTCAAACTTATATCAATTGAACATCGGTATGTCTATCGGAGTATCATAAATTCTTTCATTATGCATCTTAAAAACAATATCTTTTGGGATTGTATTAAAAGCTAAATAGTTCATAGGTAGTTGTATTTCTGATTATCTATAGATAATCAAGTTGCCAGAACTCACATTTGAACATTGTCATAGATCCGATTTAGACAAACGCAGTTATCCATGTTCATTATGGGTTTTATTTCATGGCATGACTGTTCGACAAGCGATATTAGCTGAAACAAATCAATGTAATAACTAAATAGTATTGAATATTGTAGTAGCCATACGAGAGTTTATCCGGAAATTTTTTCCCTGTGAAGAATGTGCCGAATATTTTATCAATATGACAACCGATGCAGAAAATGTCATTCGATGGCATACCAAAAGTTCCATTTCCAACTGTAGAGCAATGTGGTATATGCGTCAGTGAAACGGATACCGATGGCGACGCGAAACAATTCAATGATGAAATAACATTTCAGTATTTAAAAGATTTTTACACGTTACATGAATGAGTCGATCATCTATTATAATCCATCGATCTTCATTATTCTACTTTTCTCCATCTTCTTGATGAAATAGACAATCATTCTGTTTTCTATTTGTCGTCGTGTTTTTGTTCTTCTACTCATGTATTATCCTTATATTTGAACATTTGTTACATGTCATTGATAGGTCTTCATATCATAATTTCTATGTTTCTATCGCAATTAGTATACTCAGTGACTTGTTTTTTTTTATCTAGCAACAATTGTTTTATCTATCGAATAGATTATGTCTAGTGGAAAGAGCAGGAGCTTTTTCTATCTGATGAATGGTTTGGATTGTTGCCAATTGATACGAAAATCGCTTCGTCTATCAAGAAAATCTTTACAAATGCTAATTAGATATTTATCATCTTTGAGTTTTTACTAGTCTCTCTCTCTCTCTCTCTCTCTCTCTCTCTCTCTCTAGACTTCACCGAAACTTTTTTTTGAGAAATTCATACCTTAACTGATTTCTTGCAGTGAAACGTTGATTTGGAAAAGTCGTGTCCTCTCATTTGCGAACATAAAATGGAAATTAAAAATCTTTTAAATTCAATTTCAGCTGTTTAAATTTAATTTATTCAAATTTAAAATAATCTTAAGTCTGAAATTTTTTGTACAAAATCATATGCACCGAACTGGTCGTCGACGTCATGCAGCTATTATACTATTCGATATAAAAGCTGCCTTTGACTCTGTCTGGCATGATGGACTAATCTACAAATTAAATGACCTAGGTCTTCCACCTTACTTAATGAATTATCTCATATCATTCTTACAAAATCGAACTGCTGCAATCGAAATGGAAAGCACACTATCAACACCATTCAACTTAAATAGCGGTACTCCACAAGGATCTCCTTTATCACTACTATTATATATTATATATACAGCAGATTCAATGAATGAAATATCGGATCACACTGAACATGGCTTATTTGCCGACGACATCGCTCTATGGACTTCGTCAAACACAATATCAAGTCTTAGCTTCAGGTTACAACAAGCTATAGATGCATTCCATAGTTGGTGTAAATCATGGAAACTTAAACTTCAATCAACAAAAACAGAACTAGTACAGTTTATCGGACATCCAAGGAAAAAGTATAAAAATCCAATACCAGGCAAAATAGATGATACAATCATTACATCATCAGATTCAACAAGATACTTAGGCATTATCATAGACAAAAAGTTAAGCTGGAGACCTCATATACATCATATTGAATCAAAAATTGATGGTCGTAACAGTCTGCTTAGATTTTTAAACAGAGCAACTTACGAACCCAATGACAAAATTATGTTAAACATCTTCAAATCAATCGCAAGAATTATTAT